AAGAAACTTGGGGATCTCTCGACAGTGTTGCTGAGCGAGGAGTGTTCTGCTATCCTGCAGAACAAGCTGCCCGAAAAGCGCCAGGACCCAGGGAGTTTTACTATCCCTCTTACTATTGGCAGCATGCATGTAGGCAAGTCCTTGGCGGACCTAGGCGCTAGCATTAATGTCATGCCATATAAGTTGTATAAAAAGCTAGACCTAGGTGAACTTAGCCCTACTAGGATGAGCATTCAGCTAGCTGATCGTTCCATTGTGCATCCTAGGGGGATCATAGAGGATCTGCTTGTTAATGTAGGTGCATTCACATATCGTGTTGATTTTGTTATTCTTGATATACATGAGGATGTGGATGTGCCTTTGATTCTGGGTAGACCATTTCTTGCCACCGCCAAGGCACTTATTGATGTGCATGATGGTAAACTGATCCTGCGTGCTGGGAATGAACATGCTACTTTTTCTGTGACTGAATTCGATCACTGTGCTATGATTGCAGTCACACCTGTGCATGCCATTTCTGATCAGGTACACGAGCCTGTCGTGTATCCTTCTGCACCTCTCATTTTGCAGGACCCTACTATCATTCCTTCGCCGCCACTCCATCCAGCCTCGCCTCCGAACAAAAAGCTCAAGGAGGAGTGGCGGCCGAAGCCGCAGGTGGCTAAGCCTGCACGAAAGAAGGGTGGAGACCACTACGAGCTGGTCCCACCTCCTGCACCACGACCACCCTGGCCGTCCGGGTACTCACTCGTCTGCATCTTGCCAGATGGCCAGGTCGAGCTGACCGATGATGGTTGTCACATCCGTCGGGTGCATGGCCACAACCTGAAGCTGTACCTCAAGAGCGACGTGGATCCGCTCTTGGAGGCACCTGTCCCTGCACCTCCCTGAGTATCCACCATGGGCGTCCAGCTAAATGACGGTAAAGAAGCGCTTGTGGGGAGGCAACCCCACCACGGTTTGACTTTCTTTCTTGTGTTTTGAGTCGGATTGTAAACCGGTTTGGTTTTGGTTTGTTTTCTTTTGTTTTGGATGATGTATTATTGGGCTGACCATTGGACCTAACGTATTGTGTTTGAGCTCTTTGGTTTCCTTTAGCTGTGCTTGTCTTGACTGGTCCTCTATCCAGTCCGCTTCACTCCGACTGGTCCGCTTCCAGTCCCCTGCAGTCCATGCATACCGGTAAAACTGTTCCCCTTTTCCTTCCCTCTTCTCCATTGAGGGCAATGTCGATCTTAAGTGTGGGGGGATGTTTATTTTTTGACTGCGTTAGATCTGTTTGTGTGCTTGGAGCCTAGTCCACTTTCCAAAATTTTAAATTTGAGGGCTCCAAGTACGTGTTCCTTGCAATTGCTTGCTCAGTATGCTTTGAATTGACAGTCTCTATAGTAATATGCAACCTAGGGAGGTAGTGTAGCACTATGGAGGATGTTGATGCATTTAAGAAGTCTCATTTCTTCTTCATATTGTGTGGGTTGATTGAGTGAATTAGTGATCTTAGGACCCTTGAATTGTGATGCAAGGAACACGTACTTGGAGCCCTCAAATTTAAAAATTTGGACAGTAGACTAAGCTCCAAGCACACAAACAGATCTAATGCAGTCAAAAGATAAACATCCCCCCACACTTAAGATCGACATTGCCCTCAATGGAGAAGAGGGAAGAAAAGGGGAACGATGTTACCGGTATGCACGGACTGCAGGAGACAGGAAGCGGACCAGTCGGAGTGAAGCGGACTGGATAGAGGACCAGTCAAGACAAGCACAGCTAAAGGAAAACAAAGAGCTCAAACACAATATGTTAGGTCCAATGGCCAGCCCAATAATACATCATCCAAAACAAAAGAAAACAAACCAAAACCAAACTGGTTTACAATCCGACTCAAAACACAAGAAAGAAAGTCAAACCGTGGTGGGGTTGCCTCCCCACAAGCGCTTCTTTACCGTCTTTTAGCTGGACGCCCATGGTGGATACTCAGGGAGGTGCAGGAACAGGTGCCTCCAAGAGCGGATCCACGTCGCTCTTGAGGTGCAGCTTCAGGTTGTGGCCATGCACCCGACGGATGCGACCACCATCATCGGTCAGCTCGACCTGGCCATCCGGCAAGATGCAAGCGAGTGAGTACCCGGACGACCATAGTAGTCTCCACCCTTCCTCCGTGCAGGCTTAGCAACCTGCTGCTTCGGCTGCTTCGGCCGCCACTCCTCCTTGATCTTTTTGTTCGGAGGCGAGACTGGATGGTGTGGCGGCGAAGAAATGATAGGAGGCTCCTGCAAAATGAGAGGTGTAGACGGATACACGACAGACTCGTGTACCTGATCAGAAATGGAATGCACAGGTGTAACAGCAATCATAGCACAGTGATCGAATTCAGTCACAGAGAAAGTAGCCTGTTTATTCCTAGCACGCATGATCAGTTTACCATCATGCACATCAATTAGCGCCTTGGCGGTGGCAAGAAATGGTCTACCTAGAATCAAAGGCACATCCACATCCTCATGTATATCAAGAATAACAAAATCAACAGGATATGTGAATGTAGCGACATTGACAAGCAGATCCTCTATGATTCCCCTAGGATGCACAATGGAACGATCAGCTAGCTGAATGCTCATCCTAGTAGGACTAAGTTCACCTAGGTCTAGCTTTTTATACAACTTATATAGCATGACGTTTATGCTAGCGCCTAGGTCCGCCAATGACTTGCCTACATGCATGCTGCCAATAGTAAGAGGGATAGTAAAACTCCCTGGGTCCTTGCGCTTTTCGGGCATGAATTTCGCGTACTTGGGCATCTTCGACAGTGCCTCCACAAACGGTATGCTGATGTTGAGCTGCTTCAACATTGCCATAAAATTGGCAAACTCAGTCTCCAACATGTCTTTGTGTAGGCGAGTGGGGAAGGGAAGCTGGGGTATATGTTCCTTAACCACTGGTTGTGGCTTGGGAGCAGGGGCTTCCTTCTCCACACGCACTTCTGCATCGTCGGCTGGAAGTGCTGAAGCAGGTATTGGTTCCTCCTGTCTGGCCGGGACAGGATCAACAGATATGGTCTTACCGCTCCTGGTAAAAATGGCATCCAGCTGCTGGTGCTGGTGAGGATCACGAGGATTCGGAATAGTGGTGGCAGGCAGAGTCCCCAGTGCCCTGGTAGTGTTTTGGCGGGCCAAGATACCCACCTGGTGCTGCAGATCTTGCAAAATGGCACCTTGGTTCCTCTGACCTGCCTCCAGTGAGGCTATGCTCTGGTCCAACCTCGCGACAGTTGCCTCAGTGCTAGTCATGAATGAAGCGAGAATATTTTCCAGCTTCGTTATCTGATTATCTGGAGCCGGAGCTGCTGCTGGCTCAGCAAACTGACGCTGGGGCTGCTGGAATGGTTGCCCCTGCCTAGGCTGGTAGGGCTGCTGCTGTGAGGCTGGCCCCTGTCTAGCTTGGAAATGCTGCCTCTGCTAAAAACCACCAGCTGGTGCTGGGAAACCAGGTGGTTTAGTGGTGTTGCTGCTCCAAGCGAAATTGGGATGCTGGCGCCACCCCTCATTATATGTATTACTGTACGGGTTGAGGCGCCGAGCATTGGCGATGAAGTCCAACTACTCTTGGGGAGTAGTAGACTCCCTCATAGCTTGGCAGTCTTCCACTAGGTGATTTGAGCTCTCACACCACTGACATTGAGCTACTGGAGGTGTGGCCAAACCTCTGCCCGGGATAAGACTGTTGGGCTGCTTCAATGTCTGCACTAACTCAGCTACCTGCTGCTCGAGCCCGGATCTGGTCTCCATGGCGTGCACACCACGGTCCCGGGAATGTCTGCCTCTGCTGCTCTGCCCCCAAGAATGATCTCTGGCAGCCAAGGTATTGATCATCTGGTTCAGCTCGGGTGGAGTCTTAGTAAGAATATCCCCTCCTGGGCATAGAGACTCAATCACCCTCTAGCTGTCCGGAGAGAGAGCACTGTAGAAGTTCCCCACTGTGAATGCATCACTGAAGCCATGATGGGGACACTGCCAGAAATATCCCATGTACCACTCTCATGCATCACGAAGTGACTCATCTGGCTCTTGGCGGAAGTGAGTAATCTCTCGCTGGATGTCTGTAGTCTTCGATGCCGGATAGTACCTGTGCACGAATTTGTCAGCCAGATCGTCCCAAAAGGTGATGGACAATGGGGGCTGGGTCTCCAACCACCTCTTAGCATTCCTCGCCAGAGAATGGGGGAAAAGGTGAAGGCGGATTGCATCATCGGGGACACCATTCAGTTTGAACCCATTCGTCAGTTGCAGAAAACGGGAAAGATGTACCCTGGCCTCCTCATCCTTCAAGCCATGGAACTGGATGGAGGATGTAATGAGCTGAATCCAGCATGGCTTGATCTCGAAGTTGTTTGCTGGAATAGGCGGGTAAAGGATGACCGGGCGGATGTCAGCAATCCGTGGAGTGTAGTAGTACTCCAAGGTGGGAGCCGGCGGCGGTGGATGATGATGAACCCCATATGCCTGGAGGATAGGGTTGTTCCCCAGGACCGGATTCACCGGGGGAGCCTGCTGAGGATTCCCCTGGTGTGGATTGTAATCTTCCATCTCGTACTCGTCCTCGAAATCGCTGCTCAAATGGCAGTCTATGCGCTCCTCCGTAGCCAATCTAGCTCGCTGTTGTCTCCTGAGTTGGCGACAGGTGCGTTCAATCTCTGGATTCAACGACAGTAAACCTCCTGACTGGCTACGGGTAATGCACTACCTGCACACACTCAAGCAAGCAAACCCGTGAAGGCACAAGTGGGACAAAGCAAACAAAGCGAAAAGAAAAGCTAAATTAACAGAAATCACTTTTCTTCAACAACCTAGCTGTCCCCGGCAACGGCGCCAAAAACTTGACTCACTTCTACTGTCACTCTAGGAATTGGCCAAGTGAAACCACTTCCCAAAGTGTAGTATAGCAGGTTTGGGTTTTAATGTCAACCCGGGTCCTAGATTTGATGACTACTCGGTGAATTCTTGTTATCTAGTAATGAAACTTTAATGCAAGTCTAAACTAACAAACAAACAAAGCAAGTAAACGGTTGTTTTCAGGTTAAGAGAGGTCACCCGGATATGGTTCCCCCTAGACTGCAGTTAAGCCGGATTGCAATTACCAAGTTCAGTTTCCATGAAAATTATACTGCGGAAGGTCTTTAAACAGCCTGAAGTCTCGACTAAAGGTCCTCTCAATCTGAGTCTCTAGCGGGCAACTAACCTCCATCGGAGTAAACAGATTGAGGCCCTAACGAACAAAACCTCCACTACCGAAGTAAATTCGGTACAGAATAGTGAGTTGGCTCCTCGACAAAACTCACAAACTCCCTACCTTCAATCAAGGATGCTCTATCAACCTAGGCAGATATTCTCATTCTAGGTTAAAGCAGAAACAACAGGAATTTGATCAGGATTCATGCCATTCAATCATTCAAACCTCAATTGAATATAGTCAAATCATAGAATCAGTACTTGGGTTCATACAATCAAACCTAACATACAAATCTATGGTTCTCCATACCCAGATGAATGGGAGAACTACTCCATGGAGAAAGAAGCAAAAGCAGAATCAGACGCAGAATTCATACTGTGAAGGATGGATTCCTGCTCCTGGACGTTGATCGGCACTTCTCCAAGCTCAAGCCAAGCTCCAATGGTGATGAAGATCAATCTAGGGCACTTGGGAACTCTTGTTCGTCGCTTTCTCTCTCTAGGAATCGCTCTATCTCTCTAAAACTCGAATCCCTTGATCTTTGACCTTCTTTTCCTTTAAAACAGCTGCCTGTCGCGATACCCGGTCGAAATACCCGGTCGGGTATTTTGGGTCTCGACCGGGTATAGTTGAAACGCGCGTTTTGCCAAGGGGAAAAATACCCGGTCTCATCCAATAATCCCCGGTCGGGGATTTTGTGCCTCCAGCCCGGGAACCTCTCTGTTTCTCAGACGCCAAAACAGCAAATACCCAGCCTCCTCAGAATAATACCCGGCCGGGTATTTTTAGTCATGGCCGGGTATTTTCTTCCTCCAGCACACTTCAAGCCTCACTTGCTCCTTTCGACCCGAATTTCGTTCCTTCGCCTCGATTCCAACGTCGGGTCCTAAATTACGACATAAACACACAACCTCGCGTGAAATCGGCTTAAAACCTGAGAGTCAACCTCTCAAACGGCTCAAGAATAGGGGTGAAAACCTGTGTAATTATCGGTCTATCACCTAATGAACTTCTGAGTCATCATCATAGGATATACTCGATCACATGCAATAATTCAAGATCAATGCCACAAACACGAGAATTTCCCACCATCTGGCAACTTTGAACATGAAAATATTGCTTGGAGTCCTCAAAATTTTGAAATTTGGGCATACAAAAGGCTCCAAGCAACATCTCACTCACACAAGAATACTAGTAGACTACGCCCCCCCCCCCCCCCCACACACACAGAGTTAAACTCGACATTGCACTCAATGGCGTAAGAAAGGGGTAGAGTGATGTTACCGCTTGGGCTTGGTGAGTGAATATAGGAATGGAACCGGGGTAGGATCATTTGAACTTCAAGGAGAGACAACAAAGACACACACAAGCACAATATGACTCGCTCGAGGCAAGGTTATTACAAGCATGGTACATAGTAGTAGTAGGTCAAACTTGCTAACCTTCATTGGATTGCCTCCCAACAAGCGCTTCTTTAATGTCTTAAGCTAGACGGAGATTCCAGGTCATGCATCTTGCAGGAACACCACCTCCTTGTTTAGCATTACCTCTCCTCCAAGGTAACGCTTCAGGCAGTGTCCATTGACTTTGAAAGTTCCTTCCTCCGGGTGGGAGATCTCAACCACCCCGTATGTGAATACTTGTGTTATCACATATGGGCCCGACCATTTCAACCCTAAATTCCTAGGGAATAACTTCAACCTAGAGTTGTCCAAGAGAACCTGGTCTCCGGGCTGGAAATCCTTCCCTCCTTTCAGGTGAGCATCATGCAAGTGTTTCATCCTCTCCTTGTAAATCTTGGTGTTCTCATAGGCTTGGAGACGCCACTCCTCAAGTTCTAGCACCTGCAACTTCCTTTCATTTCCACACAAACTAGGGTCCATATTCAAAATCTTTGTGGCCCAGCAAGCCTTGTGCTCCAGCTCTACGGGTAAGTGGCATGCTTTTCCATACACCAAATGGTAAGGCGAGACGCCTATTGGTGTTTTGTAGGCCGTGTTGTATGCCCATAGAGCATCATCGAGCTTTACGGACCAATCCTTGCGGGATTGATCCACGGTCTTTTCTAGGGTACATTTTAGCTCCGTATTTGATAGCTCGACTTGTCCACTAGTTTGGAGGTGATAGGCCATGCACACCCGGTGGGTGACATCATAGCGAGCGAGGAGCTTATCGGAACTTCCATGTGTTTCCTCGAATTCTCATCCATTCACTATAACATTTATTGAACATTCCACTTGTTCCCTAGTAGTAAAATCCTCGTACTACTCTCTCAACTCTTTCAAAATCCTTGAGGTATTCCATTTCAATTGGCACCTCTTTGCTGGTGTTTGGAGTTGAAGTCCTCGCACATTTGATTCTATCTTGAGAGCCTTTGAGATTCTACTTGGGTTGGTCACATTTCTTTCATCCTTTCTTTCTTACTGATGATCGCCATACGCCTCAAATCTCTTATTTGACGTCCCACGACGAGTTTACTTAACTCGGGTCCTAGCTTATTCTTAAACCAATTGCACCCTCGTGCTACCTTCTCATAGTGTCGTGCTGTAATAGTTATTCACCTTATTATGATTAGAGTAGACTGGAGATTCTATAAACTCTTAAAAGAAGATCCTTGACTCATTTTATTCCTTTCCTTTAAAAACAAAAACCTTTAAAAACTGAGGCCGACATTCCAGTATTCCTTGGAAACCAAGGAACAGAGGAAGACTGGCTCTGATACCAAAATGTAACACCCTAACCCGGCCGGGTACTTATTTTACTAACATGCCCTTGATAAATAAAATACTCAAACCTTAAGTTGCAGCGGGAAAAATTTTCATAAATAAAAATATTGAAAACACACTTGAAGTTCGAAGCAAAGCCCTAACACGTGGGCAAATTAAACTCAAACTGATCTCTAAATAATCTCCAGTCTGTACTCATAATCATAAGTGTAAATAACTAATACTCTGAAGTTGTTGCTACTGAAATCCTTGACTAAGCATCCTCCGTGACGATTATACTGCTATCCTCTAGCTGGCTGCACTCGAACTCGCTGTTCACTAACTACTCTTCTAGCTCCTCAAACTGGTGAGTGAGGTGGGGTTAGTCTACGCCCTTACGTTTTAATACTTCTAATACTTGAGTACTTTACTTAAACACTTAACTTTGACTAGTGGAAGTTGTTTGTACTTCCAAACTTAAAATCTTAACTCTTAAACTTTGAGGGAGTTGAAGTTACTCTCCTCTCTTAAAGCTCAAATCTTGACTTAAATGCTTGACTGACACGGGGATCCCTCACTAGCTAGTCCGGTTGCCAACTCATACGTATGAGAAGCCATCAAGGCTTTCCTTAAACTTAAACTTAGTTAGGGAAGTCGTAACGATTCATCCCCCTAACATCTTAAACTTATCGTGGTGGCTCTTCATCACGATTCTCAAGAGCATAACTACTGCTCATCTTAAAAGTCTCAAGAGCATAACTGCTGCTCTGTCTCAAAGATCTCAAGAGCATAACTGCTGCTCTATATGAAAATCTCAAATGGCAACGGACTGGCGCTAGTGACTAAAAACACTTAAAACGACTTCACCTTCTTGAAGGTGAGTTACTTCTTAAAAAGAACTTGTTTCTTACTCTTTAATAATAACTCCTAAATGTAAAGCTTTAAAGTAAATAATAATTCATACATATTCACTCCAAACATAGCTCAAACAAAGCACAATCAAGCAATAACAATCACTTCAAAAAATACTTAAAGCTCGTCAAACTTAAAAGAGTACGTAAGGCGTAGAATTTACCCCCTTTAAACTCACCTCTAATACGTCGAAACCAACTCTGAATCTGCTCTAAAATTTCCATACTTGCTCCATTTAAATTCTCCTCGTTCACACGATTCCATAGGCGCTGACAATTCCTCGTTCGGATGTCAATTGATCGAGTTATGACCAAAATAAATATTCTGTCAGCTTAAATATTCTAAAACACGCTGTCGTCGATGGTGGCGTGGTAAGAGCGAACGAGGTCGACTGGCGGGACGAGTTCGTCGTAGGTCTCGGATTGCTCCACCTCGAGACCGAGCGATAGCGGCAGAGAAGAGGAGGACGAAATAGGGATCTCACCTTCCTGCTCAAGATTCTCTCTTTAACAACTCGACGTCAAATTCCCTTTCCTTGAGAGCCGCGAACGCGATGCTCCGTTCGATCTCCGAGCAAGCTCTCTCGTCACTACCGACGACAAAGTCCGCGCCGTGCTTCTCCAACTCGGATTCCGGGCTTTTCTTCTCCCACTCCAAGGCCTCCACCTGCCTCCTCTTGTCCGCCACGGTGTCGATCAGCCGCTTGTTCAGAGCCTTCACCTTCTCATTTTAGTAGACAATGGCTTGATTCAGAGAGAGGGAGGAGATATGGATTGATTTGTCGTCTATCAAAGAGGGAGACCGAGCGGTGGGATTTGCGGTTTCTTTTTTCCAATTGGCGGCGTTGCTCGGTGTAAGCTGCTAGGGCTTTTTTTTAAACTAATAATAATAATAGTTATTATTATTATTATTATTATTCCTAATCCCCGGTTGCAACTCTTTGTACATGCTTGTTAAACCAACCGTTCGCGTATTATGGTCGAACCGAAACCCAAAGGTGAGGGTGTCATAGGCTCGGCCAGTAGAATCCCGACTGTAGCACCTTTCTTGTAGTTCGGTTGCCTCCGTGGTGACCCCCAGCTGGCCCCGTATGACAGTGGTTCATAATACCTTTCATCTCCTCCTCCAATACTCACCTTCGAATGACTCTGTCGGCCCCAATTCGAAAAAGGTGAGGCTCATCCCAGAAGTAAGCACGGAGGTCGGAGAAGAACATGTTTCTCTCATGTGTAGTCATCCCCTTGCGTAGCTGCTTTCCAACCAGATAATTGGCAAAGTCGGCAAACCATGGGGCCATACTCTCTGCATCGGCGAGGGCGAGTAGACGTTTATCGGGGAAAGTGTCATTTATCTCTCTCGGATGAGTGCTACATCCCGGTCCTTCGAGCCGCGAGAGGTGGTCAGCTGCAAGTTTTTCGGCCCCCCTTCTTGTCCTTGATCTCCACATCGAACTCTTGAAGCAGTAGAATCCATCGAATCAGTCGGGGATTGGCATCAGCCTTGCTCATCAAGAAGCGGATGGCAGAGTGGTCTGTGTAGACAACAACCTTGGAGAGCACCAGATAAGACCTGAATTTATCGAAAGCAAATATTACTGCTAACAGCTCTTTCTCCGTGGTTGTGTAATTCTCATGAGCATCATTCAGTGTCTTTGAGGAGTAGCACATAGGTTGAAAGTGTCTACCCCTCCTTTGACTCAAAACTGCTCCCACTGCATAGTCACTAGCATCGCACATGAGCTCGAAGGGAACGTCCCAATCCGGTGAGACCATTATGGGGGCATTGGGGAGCTTCTCTTTAAGGATGTAAAGCATCAAATCATTCCTTCGTGAAAAGGAATGGGGGGGTCCTTCTCCAAAAGCTTGGTCAAGGGCAATGCAATCTTCGAGAAGTTTTCGATGAAACGTCGGTAAAACCCCGCATGCCCAAGGAAACTTCTTATGCCCTTAACTGTGGTTGGGGGAGGTAGCTTGCTTATTGTCTCAACTTTGGCTCGATCCACCTCAATCCCCTACTTGGAGATTTTTTGACCCAACACAATGCCCTCCCGGACCATAAAATGGGACTTCACCCAACTCAAGGCTAGATTGGTTTCTTCACATCGCTCAAGGACCTTCTCCAAGTTGGCCAGACAATGAGAGAATGAATCTCCGAACACTAAAAAGTCGTCCATGAATACTTCCATTATCTCCCCAACTAGCTTATCAAAGATGGCCACCATGCACCTCTGGAATGTTGCCGGGGCATTGCACAATCCAAACGGGATGCGTCGGTAAGCAAAGGTCCCGAAGGGGCATGTGAATGTTGTCTTGGCTTGATATTCTGGAGAAATTGGGATCTGGAAGTACCCTGATATCTCATCCAAGAATTAGTAGTAACCATGCCTAGCGAGTCTCTCCGGGATTTGATCAATTAAAGGAAAAGGGAAGTGGTCCTTTCGAGTGGCTTCGTTCAATCTTCGATAGTCAATGCACACCCTCCACCCCGTCATCGTTCTTGTTGGTATAAGCTCTTCCTTTCATTAGCTAATATCGTCATTCCTCCCTTCTTGGGAACTAACTGGGTTGGGCTCACCCACTGCTATCCGAGATAGGGTAGATAATCCCGGCATCCAGTAGCTTGATCACTTTTGATTTCACTACTTCTTCCAGATTAGGATTCACTCGCCTCTGCGGTTGCCGAACCGGTTTGGCCCCCTCCTCCAGGTGGATCTTGTGTGAACAAAATTGGTCCAATTCCCTAGATGTCTGTGATCTTCCAAGCTATTGCCCTCTCGTGACGCCTTAGGACCTGAATCAATTCTACCTTCTGATCGGGTGTAAGATTGGCATTGATGATGAATGGAAGCTTCCCACCATCCCTCAAATAGGCGTACTAGAGGTGAGGAGGTAACGGTTTCAGTTCCAACTCGGGGGGTTCCTTCAAAGAGGTAGGGATTTTTGGCATTGAGGGTAATGCCTCCAATTCTTGGTCTTGCAGGGGTTGGCTATCATCCTCCGGGGAGTCCGGGGCGTCTGTTCCTACCAAACAACACTCCTCAAAAGGGTCAGTAGTAAGGGCACCCGCAGACGCGAGTGCTTCCATGAAGTCAGAAACCTCTTCGCAGTAATCAAAATAATCATGGCAACGAGACAACTTCATGCTATCATCAATGGAGAATGTGACCTCCTCCTCTCCTGCCCTAAGACCCAGCCTACCTCCATGCACATCAATCAGGGCCTTGGCGGTGGCTAAGAAAGGCCTTCCCAAGATGAGGGGGACCTAACTTTCTCATCAATGTCCAAGATAACAAAGTCCACAGAAAACATGAGAGGTCCTACTTTAATGAGCAAGTCGTCCACAACACCTTTAGGTCATACTACAGACCTATCTGCCAACTAAATGTACATTCTAGTGTCTCTAAGTTCTCCTAGTTATAACTTTTGAATAACGTATAGGGCATCACATTAATGCTAGATCCTAGGTTCGCCAAGGACTTTCCTATGCATACATAACCAATAAAGCAAGGGATAGTGAAAATCCCTGGATCTTTGCGTTTAGGGGGCAAGTAGTTCTGCACGAGGGCAGAGCATTCCTCATTCAAGCTCACAGTAGCCACCCTCTCAAGCTTCTTCTTGTTGGTGAGGAGGTCTTTCAGGTATTGTGCGTACTTGGGCATTTGGGTGACGGCCTCCAGGAAGGGGATGTTCAAATGCAACTGGTTCATCAACTCCATGAAGTGGGAGAAATCTGCCTCCTTGCGGTCATTGCGAAGCCGTGAAGGATAAGGGAGAGTTGGGGTTATTTTCCTATTTTCTTGATCCGGTTGAGAGGTCGGAGTGATACTCTTCTTGAGAGGTCGGTTTAGGGGTCGTAGAGTCGAGGTCCTGTCTCTTGTGGCTTCCGGCTGCGAGGGGAGGTTATCGCCCTCTTGTTGCTCCTCTGTTGTGAGATTTTTCTTCTTAGGGGGTAGCTCTTTGGCCTCTCTTCAATTTCGAAGAGTCACGGCTACCACGTCAACTTCTTCGATTGATTTCCAAGACTGAGCCGCCTGCGAGATACCCCTTATGCTCGTGGCCAGGTTGATCAAGTGGGTTTCCTGACTCTACAACCCCGCCTCTATGGTCAAGAACTTCTCTGTTGCCTCTCCAATGAATCTGTCGATTCTGTCAAACTTTTTGGAGCTGGAGGCGACAAAGTTCTTTACCAACTCTTCAAGGCGGGTCATCCGGTGGTACTCTACATCCTCATGGTTCCAACTTTCACCCCACTCCATAGGTGTTGCTACCTCGCTTACATGCCCTTTATCCTCGAGCATCACCCTGATCAACTGATATATCTTCGCTTCAAGTGGGGTCATACTGCTTACCATCAAAGTCGGGGGTTTCCTAGGAGTCGGAGAGCCTGGTTTATGCCCTCTTCAAGTGGTAGAAAGGGTGTCGGGTTGCCCTGGGTCATGCACCACCTACACACAATCGGAAAACACCAAGTCTAGCACAAGCAAAGAACACACAGACTTGCAAAACTGGAAATTAAAAGCTAGATTAACAACCAACAACTTTTTCAGAATAACAGACCGTTGTCCCCGGCAACGGTGCCAAAAACTTGACTCCCACGAAACTACACCACAATAAAACACCAATTAGAGCCCAAGTTTTTAAACTCTAATTGGGTGCAGTATAGGGCAAGTATTTAGATATCGACCCGGGCCAGTCTGTCTATCCCTACTTCCGTTGTTGAAATCATTATCTAGCAACAAAAATTTGGTTTAAAGTTTTCCTAATTGAAATAAAAGAAAGCAAAGGTGATAGGTTTGAAAACTCTTTTGTGGGAAAGTCACTCGGGTGTCGCTTCCTCCTAACCTCTACCATGCTATGTGAATTGGAACGATGCCTTTGGGCACGTTAACCGTGAACCGCAGAGGGATGCATATGTGGTCGGAGACCGTATCTCAATTGCTAAACCGAGGTAAGGATGAAAGGGCGTGTCACTCGACCCTCTCGGTTTAGACAATTGGTAATTTGACTTACTCCCTCACTTAACTCTAAGGTCGGACGGTTTAGTCACGATTAATCGAATTGCTTAACTCAATATTGAGGGTCGCCCTAACTTAGCCTAGTTTAGGTGGCTTAGAAAGCGGAAGGAAAACCAACTTGATTGAGTCTCCCTTGAAAAGGGGGATTTTCCTCTCTAAACTAGGCTAAGGTGGCAAATTAGATTAGCAGCACCTAAATGCACAAACTTAGGGTTGCGAAGCACAATTATGCACAATTCCTAGGTTGCTAAGCACTTAAATGCACAAAACTAAGAATGTTAAGCACAAAACATGCACAACCCCTAAGTTGCTAAGCACAAGCATGCACAATCATGGTGAATAATGCCTCAATCATTGAATTGAGCAATACCCAATGACAATCATCCAAAACACATACAAGAAAACTACATGGTAGAGTTAGGTTTCACTACATGACACGCTAAAACACAACACCAAACTGCGACCAAGTGTAATCGTAGTCCGGAAATGCAGAACAGTGGCAAGTTCTATTTATCAACCTGGGGTCTAGATCTACTACCTACTCTGTGATTATCTATTATCTAGCAAACTAAGTTGTGTGATTGTGATTTTAAGCAAAAGCAGTAAAAAAGCAAGAAATGGTTCGAAGTTCTTTAGCAAGAGAAGAGTCACTCGGGAATGAGTCCCCCTAGCTCCTTAGTTAGGTCAAAGTTATAATTACCTTTGGTTGATTTACCGTTGATTAAACTGCGGAAGATCCGACAATAGCTTGGCGACTAGCCTTCACCGGGATAGACTGCTGAGGCAATAAACAAAGAACTCCACTACTGGAATTGGATTCCAGTACAAAGCAGTAAATCGATTAACTCTGGTATAACCAATCTACTACTACCGATTGATGAAGTCTAACAACCTAATCAGATTCTATCTATCTCAGGTTGCAGCAGAAATCAAGAAAAGATGATCATGCTTCAATTGACTCAATGAATCATGCATCAATCAATTAAAATCAATCAGTATATGAATCCAAAGTCATTACAATCAAGATTCCTAACACATGGAACTAGGATTCTTCATTCCCAAGTGAGAGAAGGTTGTACTCCATAGAGAGAGAAAGAGAGGAAAACAGAAATCAGAGCAGGCATACTCATAAAGATGGGGATAATCTGCTCAGGGATGTCGATCTTCAATCCTGGGGATGCAATCTGGGTTTCAATGGTGAGAAATCCTCTCCAAATAGCTCCTAGGGTTTGTTCTTTGCACTTTCTCTCTCTAAAGCTCAGTTTTTTGATCAAAAACTCGATTCCCTTTCCTTTAGCTTGAATCTGCCTCAAAAACCCGATTCTGGGCAAAACACGATCGAGGACACGGCCTTGTTTTACTTTTGCCCGCCCGTGTTTTGCCCGCAGCAGCCCTCACGACACGCCATCAGCAGTAAAAACACTAGCGGGGGCTAGATAAAACACGGCCGTGTTTTACTGCCGAACATGTTCCCCTATATTCAATGCTTCGTTTCTCCCTCGTCCGGACTCTGAATCAGTCGCCATTTGATCCCAGACGCTCGTAGTCTCATCCTATTTCTTTTCATGACAAGCTTGTATGATTATTTATCCATAAATGAGGTAGAAATCCATTCTTATTCAGGTCATGCCCGAGTTCTTCTCCCGAATCACAAATTGATATCCGATTGACTTGAAACTTGCGCCTAGCCTTTCCTTCGACGCTTGGGACCTGAAATGTGATAGAATACCACAAGCCAGCGTAAAATAGGCCAAAGATGCACGACTAGGAGTGACAAACAGATAAAAAATAAGGGTGCAAACACGTGCAAATACATCGTTATCACTACACCTAAGTGAAAGGAGGTCTACTCCATGCTAGAAGTGGGAAAAACAAATGGGGAAAAGGTGGAAACCATCGTTGAGGATGCTCCCTCTCTTCTTGACCCTTGAGTTGAGTTCCTTGGGGAAATCTTCCATAAATCTGCCTTGAAACCAAACCCTAACCTTCTTCTACCCTTTGGTTCTGTTTCTCTCACTAGAATGCTGAAGAAGAAGTTTCACACAAAAGTGGGCTCTCTCCTCTCTCCTCCTTTCAGCTCATCTTTTAAACCCGAGATGAGCTAAGTTCACGGCCTAAGTTCAAAGCCGTGAACCATCAAACGTGTCCGTGAACTCAAGGAGTGCGCTAAAAGGCTATGCATCGCTCGCTTCTGTTCACGGTCAACTTCTTGTGTTCACGGTCTTAGTGATCGTGAACTCACCTTGCGTCAGTAACCTTCACATTGGCTTTGGACGCCTCCCGATTCATGGTCAACTCCCCTTCTTCACGGTCTTGCATGACCGTGAACTCCTTCAGTTAGCCATGAACTACCTCTTTTCACCTCTTCTCCCGGCTTTTTATCCTTTTCACCAATCTTTCGACTCCGAGGCTGGTTTCACCTGTTAAATCCTAAAACACACTCAAACACGAAGAACCTAGCGTAAAAACAACCTTTAAGGAGCAAATTTGGCACAAACATCTAAGTAAAACGGGGGCAAAACATGTGCAATTAGGCCCGAATCAGTTACCATTGGTTTTGGTCGATTCCTCTACTCATTTTTGTACCTCACTCGTTGTCTTTGGTTGCACGAGCGAGGGCAGTTTCTCAACTTGCTTCTTCGTAATAGGTGCCTCTTTAGTCTCCTTCACATTTTGGAGCATGGTAGCCTTCAACTCAACTTCATTAGCTTCCTTTAGAGAGATGACAACTTGAGCAATGATGCCCATCTGAGTTGACAAATTCTCCAATGATGATTGATTAATTTGTAATCTTGTTTCAATGGATGAGCGTTTGTCACAAGCTACCTCCATAAATTTCACAATATTTTCAAATTTGTTGGAGCTCGAACTTACAAAAGTAGTGACAAGGATTTCAAGCTCGGTTAGCTTGTCATGTGTTGTTGATATGAATAACCTTGCCCTTCTTATGGTTGGAAGTGATGATATTTGAAATTTTTGGCTTGAAACAAAGGCCTTTAGTTGGATAGGGATGCCCATGAAGAGCTCGGATGGTTGTGCCACCCCGGGTTATAAGTCGTGCTACAAGGGTTGTTGTTGTTGGTCTCCCTAGCATTTGAGATGAAATTGACATGTTCTTATGGAGTAGTAGCTTACATCATGATTTGGCACTGCTCCAACACTTGGTTTGGGATTGAACGCTACTCACATAACATCACTTGGCTCTTTCCTTGACTTTCATCCTTCACTAGCATCTTTATCAATCCAACACTTGTACACCTTTCTCACGAGAATGTCTCCCCCTTCTTGTCAAGACCCAATCGTACCCCTTAAACGCCATTTCTTCAAATCGTTTGCTCATTTGCGGGGGTGTCTTTTTGAGCATGTTACTTTGACACAAGGTGATATGATCTCAAAATCCCTCTTCCATCATTCTTGGTTGATTGCTAAAGAAGCTACTCCTACTCACTTGAAGAACATGGAATTTTGGCTAAGTCATGAGACTGTTTCGGGAGGCCTTCTTTACGAGCATGGTTTGGGCAATTGGCATGATAGAAATTATATTGGAAAGGTTTGGATTGAACCTTGCAAGTTGATAAACAAATGGGAATGTCTGGGATCTCGAGAGAAGGCCAGGAAGTGGCGTTTTAAAGCTCGACAAAACCCTTTGGTAGCACAAGCAAACTGCCCGGATTTGTCTAAGGCATAGACCTGTTGCGAGAAGCTCACTTTGAAGCTCTGGAGACGACGAATGGCTGGGAATCAGGTTCCAACATTTAGTTCACAAGAAAGCTTGCATTTTCTAGTACAGAAACAAGGCATAGGATGATCCCATCGAAATCGGGAGCAGGGAGAACGAGGGTCTCCAAGTTGGCATCAACACCAGTTTGTTACTTGCACTTTAAGTTTCCATTTTGTGTTAGGATTGCGAATGTTTTTGCTTACCTTGTTTGTTTCGGATTCCTTTTTCATTCTAGAAACGTATTGTAAAAGCAGTTTTCAAGCTGAATACAAAAAAAAACAAAAAAAAAAACCTAAACTAAGTCTTGTCGCTAGTTTTTGGTTTAAGAGTTTTGACCGAGAAAACCAAGCTCAAATATGCTCTTGTATCGATCAATACCGCCTTGATCGTGGGCGAGCCTCGACATATACTCCAGGTGTAGGATTTCACAAGAGTTCCATCCTTTTCGTTTTAATTTTCGTTGGCGACTTGGTTTCATCGACGAGTTGCTAAGCTTGGCTTTCAAGTTCGGATTGTGACATCAACAACTAGCTTGAGTGTTATGAAGTGGTAATCAGAGCCCGGTTCACCTCAGTGGACATGACGGAAGGCGACATTGCGGGAACGACACGTTGGAAGAGGTCCAAAGGTTTCGTGTCTCAAGACCCTGCTATTCGAATGAATCCAGAGGAAGGAGTCGTATGCGATGAGTCGAATCAGGAGGGTGTAATTGCGATGTCGGGACAGTTTAATACAATGAAATTTCTACAGACTATTACGGCGCAGATGAGGACGCTTTTCCAAGCTCAGTTTGACAAATTGGAGCTCCAATTAGAGCAACAAGGACAGAGGCTCGATGCTCTAACTCCGACCGCGAATTTGCAGGACCAAGCAGGGGAGCGTGATCTTGTTGCAACTGAAGCTAAAAATCAGGAATTGCTGGACCGAGTTGAGGAGCTGGAGCAGCTAGTCATTGATGATCCTTAGCGGGGATAACGACGACATGAAAATCGGGAAGACGGCCGGAAACGGAGTCGACAATTCCTCCGGGAATCAAGCTCGCTGTTCTGCAATTTCAGGGAACCTTGAACCCAGCAGCCTACCTCTATTGGGAGAGAAAAATTATTATGTTCTTTGAGTGCGTCCAATTCACCAAGCAGCAGAAAGTGGCGATGGCGACTTATGAATTTTAAGAATACACACCTCAGTGGTGGGAACAACTCCAACTCCATCGAAGACGAAATCACCAAGTGCCTGTAACTACATGGGACGAGCTGTGTGGTCTTATGAGGGATCTCTTTGTCCCGGGATACTTTCAACAAGACCTCTATGATGCGCTGCAGAGCATTCGACAAGGATCGAGGAGTGTTGAAGAGTACTTTCGAGAGCTCGAATTGCTCTTGATGCGAGCTAATGTGCGCAAAGAAAAGGAGGCAACGATTTCAAGGTTGCTCCACGGATCGAATTGAGAGATTCGTCATGCGGTCGAACTGCGGCCTTTTGTCGAACTCGAAGAAGTAGTTCTCCTCGCCATTAGAGTGGAGAAGCAGCAAAAATCCTCTACTGGGCGAAGGTTTACCAGTGCTAAACCTGCTGCTAAAGTTCCTGCCGAGTTAACTCCCCTCCAATCCAAGCAGGAGGTGACCAAAATTGCGCCACGAAGCGCTCCAAACAGTGAAGAACGAACCGGGGGTTCCAGCGGGGCAATTCAATATTTCAAATGCTTCGGCAGGGGCCATAAGGCTAACCAATGCTTAAACATTAAGGCCATAATTCTTTGAGATGGTGAGTACATCTTTGACGATGAAGCTCGACATAAGAAGAAGGATGACAGCTCCTCCGATGACGAAGTAGATGAGGAGATCGAAGCGGAGAAGGGTTCGTTTTTGTCCGGGATGAATCTCAGGGCCTTGTTGGTGGAGTGCGAGGCAGAAGAAGGCTAACGAACTAACCTCTTCCATACAAGGTGTTTGATTGTATGAAACCAACTACAGATTCTATGATTTGATTATATTCGATTGAGGTTTGAATGATTCAATGGCATGAATCCTGATCAAATTCCTGTTGTTTTGCTTTAACTTAGAAAGAGAATATCTGCCTAGGTTGATAGAGCACCCTTAATTGAAGGTAGTGAATTGGTGACTTTAGTTGAGGAGCCAGTTCACTATTCTGTACCTAAGTTACTTCGGTATAGGAGGTTTTGTTCGTTAGGGCCTCAATCTGCTTACTCCGATGGAGGTTAGTCGCCCGCTTGAGACTCAGATTGAGAGGGTCTGGAGACCTTTAGTCGAGACTTCAGGCTGTTTAAGAACCTTCCGCAGTATAACTATCATAGAAACTGAACTTGGTAATTGCAATCCGGCTTAACTGCAGTCTAGGGGGAACCATATCCGGGTGACCTCTCTCGACTTGAAACAACCGTTTAACTTGCTTTGTGTTTTTGTTTGTTTGAACCTGCACTTAAGTTTTACCGCTAGATAATAAGAATTCACTGAGTAGTCATCATATCTAGGACCCGGGTTGACATTAAAACCCAAACCCGCTATACTACGCTTTAGGAAGTGGTTTCACTTGGCCATTTTCTAAAGTGACAGTAGGAGTGAGTCAAGATTTTCGCGCCGTTGTCGGGGACGGCTAGTTTGTTGAATAAAAGAGATTTCTGTTACTTTAGCATTTTCATTTTCACATTGATTGTTTTTTCTTTCCCACTTGTGCCTTCACGAGTTTGCTTGCTTGATTGTGTGCAGGTAGTGCATGACCCGCAGCCAGTCGGGAGGTTTACTGCCGTTGAATCCGGAGATTGAACGCACCTGTCGCCAACTCAGGAGACAACAGCGAGCTAGACTGGCTACGGAGGAGCGCATAGACGGCCACTTGAGCAGCGATTCTGAGGAGGAATACGTGATGGAAGGAGATTACAATCCACACCAGGGGAATCCTCACCAGGTTCCCCCGGTGAATCAGGTCTTGGGGAACAACCCCATACCCCAGGCAGATGGGGTTCATCATCATCCACCGCCGCCGGGTCCCACCTTGGAGTACTACTACACTCCACGGATTGCTGACATCCGCCCGGTCATCCTCTACCCGCCTATTCCAGCGAACAACTTTGAGATCAAGCCATGCTAGATTCAACTCATTACATCATCTATCCAGTTCCATGGCTTGAAGGATGAGGAGGCAAGGGTGCATCTTTCCCGTTTTCTGCAGCTGACGAACGGGTGCAATCCGCCTTCACCTCTTCCACCACTCTCTGGCGGGGAATGCTAAGAGGTGGTTGGAGACCCAGCCCCCATTGTCCATCACTTCTTGGGATGATCTGGCTGACAAGTTCGTGCACAGGTACTACCCAGCATCGAAGACCACAGAGATCCAGCGGGAGATAACTCACTTCCGCCAAGAGCCAGACGAGTCACTTCGTGATGCATGGGAGCGGTAAATGGGATATTTCTTACAGTGTCCCCATCATGGCTTTAGTGATGCATTCACAGTGGGGAACTTCTACAGTGCCCTCTCTCCGGACAACCAGAGGGTGATTGAGTCTCTATGCCCAGGAGGGAATATTCTTACTAAGACTCCACCCGAACTGAACCAGATGATCAGTACCTTGGCTGCTAGAGATCATTCCTGGGGGCAGCGCAGTAGAGGCAGAAATTCCCGGGACCGTGCTGTGCACGCCATGGAGGCCAGGTCCGGGCTCGAGCAGCAGGTGGCCGAGTTAGTGCAGACATTGAAGCAGCCCAACAGTCTTATTCCGGGCAGAGGTTTGGCTACACCTCCAGTAGCTCAATGTCAGTGGTGTGAGAGCTCAAATCATCTGGTGGAAGACTTCCAGGCTATGCGGGAGTCAACTACTCCCCAAGAGCAGTTGGACTTCATCGCCAGTGCTCGGCGCTTTGACCCCTACAGCAATACATATAATGAGGGGTGGCGCCAGCATCCCAATTTCTCTTGGAATAGCAACACCACTAAACCACCTGGTTTCCCAGCACCAGCTGGTGGCTTTCAGCAGAGGCAGCTCTTCCAGGCTCGACAGGGGCCAGCCCCACAGCAGCAGCCCTACCAGCCTAGGCAGGGGCAACCATTTAGCAGCCCCAACGTCAGTTTGCCAAGCCAGCAGTAGCGCCGGCTCCAGATAATCAGATGACGGAGCTGAAAACATTCTAGAGGCATTCATGACTACCACCCAGCAGAGCATAGCCTCACTGGAGGCAAGTCAGAGGAACCAAGGTGCCATTTTGCAAGATTTGCAGAACCAGATGGGTAGCATGGCTTGCCAAAACACTACCTGGGCACCGGGGACTCTGCCTGCCAACACTATTCCGAATCCGCGTGAGCCTCACCAGCACCAGCAGCTTAATGCCATCACTACTAGGAGTGGCAAGACCACATCTGCTGCTCTTGCCCATCCCAGCCAATATGAGCCACTACTTGCTTCAACACTTCCAGCTGATAATGCAGAAGTGGGGGGAGACAAAGAAGCACCCGCTCCCAAGCCACAGTCAGTGGTTAAGGAGCATGTACCCCAGCTTCCTTTCCCCACTCGCCTACATAAACACAGGCTGGAGACTGAGTTTGCCAAATTCATAGCAATGTTGAAGCAGGTCAACATCAATATGCCGTTCGTGGAGGCACTGTCGAAGATGCCCAAGTACGCCAAGTTCATGAAGGACCTCCTCACCAACAAGAAGAACTTGGGGATCTTTCGACAGTGATGCTGAGCGAGGAGTGTTCGGCTATCCTGTAGAACAAGCTGCCCGAGAAGCGTAAAGACCCAGGGAGTTTCACTATCCCTCTTGTTATTGGCAGCATGCATGTAGGAAAGTCCTTGGCGGACCTAGGCGCTAGCATAAATGTCATGCCCTACAAATTGTTTAAAAAGCTAGACCTATGTGAACCTAGAGCTACTAGGATGAGCATTCAGTTAGCTGATTGTTCCATCGTGCATCCTAGGGGTATCATTGAGGATTTGCTTGTTAATGTGGGTGCATTCACATATCCTGTTGAGTTTGTTATTTTGGATACAAATGAGGATGTGGATGTACCTTTGATTTTGGGTAGACCGTTTCTCGCCACCGCCAAGGCGCTTATTGATGTGCATAGTGGTAAATCGATTATGCGTGCTGGTGATGCACAGGCTACTTTTTCTGTGTCCGAGAATGGGAAACACTCCCATTTGCATGATGACGAAGATTACTGTGATGTGCTTGCTGATTTTGAGACCGCACTCACTATAACGAGTGCAAGTATTGACGATGCTCTTGAGCGCTGTATTTTGCTAGGTGAGCCGGCATCGCAGGAGCCGCAGCTGGCGGAGCAGTTGGCCGCGCTGGAGAGTGGCCCATTCTTGGAGGGCGACAGGCTGTTTAAACCGATCTCATCCTCACCCCGCATCACTACCTCCTTGGAGGAACCACTAGAGTTGGAGCTTAAGACCCTCCCTCCTCATTTGGAGTATGCATTTCTCCGGTAGGGGAATAAGCTTCCAGTCATCATCAGCTCGACCCTCACGCCCGAGCAGAAGGACAGATTGGTGTCCTTGTTACAGCGGTACGAGTGAGCCCTAGCATAGAAGATCACAGATATTCGGGGGATCAGCCCCTCCTTTTGCTCCCACCGGATACTGCTGGAGGATGAGATGCGGCCAGTGAGATAGCCGCAGAGAAGACTGACACCGAACCTGGAGGCTGGGGTTCGGGCAGAGATCGTGTAGCTGATGGACGCGGGGATCATCTACGCCATTTCCGACGGCGAGTGGGTCAGTCCCACCCAGGTGGTACCCAAAAAGGGTGGGATGACCGTGGTACCTAACGAGAAGAATGAGCTCATCCCGATGCGCACAGTGACTGGGTACCGTGTCTGCATTGATTATCAGCGTGTCAACGATGCCACTCGGAAGGACCACTTTCCGTTGTCGTTCATTGACCAGATGCTGGAGAGACTAGTGGGGCATGAGTTCTACTGTATCCTGGATGAGATGTCTGGGAACTTCCAGATCCCCATTGCACCGGAGGACCCGGCGAAGACCACTTTCACCTGTCCCTTCGGCACATTTGCCTACCAGAGGATCCCATTCGGGCTATGTAACGCCCCCGCCACTTTTCAGCGATGCATGCTGGCCATCTTTGACCGGCTGGTCGGCGAGATTATGGAGGTGTTTATGGACGACTTCTCGGTTTATGGAGACTCATTCTCTCACTGTCTCCATAACCTGGAACTCGTCCTTAAACGGTGTGAAGAAACGAACCTGGCACTGAGTTGGGAGAAGTGCCACTTCATGGTTCGCGAAGGCATAGTTCTGGGGCATAAGATCTCCAAGATGGGGATTGAGGTGGACAGAGCAAAGATCGAGACTATCAGTAATATGCATCCTCCTACATCTGTTAAGGGGATCCGGAGTTTTTTAGGCCATGCAGGGTTCTACAAGCGGTTCATCAAGGATTTTTCGAAGATTGCCCTGTCCCTGACTAAGCTTCTTGAGAAGGATGCCCCCTTCCAGTTCAATGATGCATGCACAGCGGCATTCACGACCTTGAAGGAGAAGCTCACCCAAGCTCCTATCATGGTTGCTCCTGATTGCTCCCTACCATTTGAGCTGATGTCCAATGCCAGTGACTTTGCTGTTGGAGCTGTCTTGGGGCAGAGGCGAGATCAACATTTCCGACCTATCTACTACGCCTCGAAGACCCTAAATGATGCCCAGGAGAACTACACCACCACGGAGAAGGAGCTGCTTGCGGTGGTGTTTGCCTTCGACAAATTTCGTCCTTATCTGGTCTTGTCCCATGTGACCGTGTATACAGATCACTCTGCGATTCGATAACTGATGAGCAAGGTCGATGCCAAGCCTAGGCTCATACGATGGATCTTATTATTGCAGGAGTTCGACATTGAGATTCGGGACAAGAAGGGAGCGGAGAATGTTGCAGCTAATCACCTCTCCCGGTTGGACGCACCTCCCACGGACAACCTCAAGGAGGAGATCAACGACTCCTTCCCAGATGAACGACTGATGATGATGTACTTGATGGAGATTGCCACCTTGTGGTATTCCGATTTTGCGAACTATCTGGTGGGCCAGCGGCTGCCCAAGGGGATGACAACTCACACCAAGAAGAAATTTTTCTCCGACCTGAAGCACTACTTCTGGGATGACCCTCATCTCTTCAGGATCGGAGCCGACGGGCTCATCCGTCGTTGTGTTACGGAGAGTGAGATGGAGGGCATTCTATCTCATTGTCATGAAGGACCTACTGGCGGTCACCACGGAGGAAACCGCACAGCGAGGAAGGTGCTATAGTCGGGCTTCTACTGGCCCACGCTCTTCAAGGACGCAGACACCTTCGCACGTAGGTGCGACCGATGCCAGAGGTCAGGTAACATCTCTACCCGTGATGAGATGCCCCAGAATGTGTTTATAACTTGTGAGATTTTTTATGTCTGGGGTATCGACTTCATGGGACCCTTCCCTCCATCCTTTGGTAATACATATATCCTTATTGCTGTTGACTACGTCTCTAGGTGGGTTGAGGCGCAAGCTTTGCCCACTAATGATGCTAGACGTGTTTGTGGTTTTCTGATGCAGCTATTCTCCCGGTTCGGGACACCTAGAGCCATCATAAGCGATCGAGGCACTCATTTCCAGGGCCAGTTTGATAAGTTACTGTCTCGCTATGGTGTGACTCATAAGGTGACCGTGGCCTATCACCCTCAAACAAGTGGCCAGGCCGAGCTGACGAATCGGGAGCTCAAGCATATCCTGGAAAAGACGGTGAATCAGTCCCGCAAGGATTGGTCCACCAAGCTCGATGATGCTCTATGGGCATATCGCACTGCCTACAAGACACCCATTGGTACTTCACCGTACTGGCTCGTCTATGGAAAGGCATGCCATTTGCCTGTGGAGCTAGAGCACAAGGCCTTTTGGGCCCTTAAGCTGCTAAACTTGGATGTCAGTGTTGCAGGTGTTGAGCGCAAAATGCAGATGCTGGAGCTGGAGGAATGGCGTTATCACGCCTATGAGAACACCAAGTTGTACAAGGAGCACACTAAGCGCCTGCACAATGCACGGTTGTGAGGTCCGAAAGAGTTCCAGGTTGGTGATCGAATTCTCCTTTATAACTCTCGCCTGAAGCTCTTTCCCAGAAAACTTCGTTCCCGGTGGTCTGGACCGTTCACGGTCACACAGGTGTTCCTGTATGGCAGGATCGAAATTGCCACCCCGCAGACTGAACCGTTTAAAGTAAATGGCCATCGTCTCAAGCTCTACTTGGGAGGCGAGGTCGAACATGCGGAGTTGGCTGTGGAACTCGCGGACCCTTAGTTCCGCCATGGGCGTCCAGCTAAAAGACGGTAAAGAAGCGCTTGTGGGGAGGCAACCCCACCATGGTTTGACTTTCTTTCTTTTGTTTTGAGTCGGATTGTAAACCGATTTGGTTTTGGTCTGTTTTATTTTGTTTTGGATGATGTATTATTGGGCTGACCATTGGACCTAACATATTGTGTTTGAGTACTTTTGTTCCCTTTAGCTATGCTTCGTTCCTGACTGGTCCCCTCTCTAGTCCGCTTCACTCGACTAGTCCGCTTACAGTCCCATGCAGTCCGTGCACACACGTAACATCGTTCCCCTTATCCTTCCCTCTTCTCCATTGAGGGCAATGTCGATCTTAAGTGTGGGGGGGATGTTTCTCTTTTGACTGCATTAGATCTGTTTGTGTGATTGGAGCCTAGTCCACTGTCCAAATTTTTCAATTTGAGGGCTCCAAGTACGTGTTTCCTTGCAAATTGCCTGCTCAGTATGCTTTGAATTGACAGTCTCTGTGGTAACGTGCAACCTAGGGAGGTAGTGTAGCACTTTGGAGGATGTTGAAGTATAAGATTTTTCCTATCTAGCTCTCTGCTGTGCCAGTTGATTTTGTGAATTAGTGGAGCTAAGGCCGTTGAATTCATGTGGTAATGTGGACTCTGATTGGATTGTGTTTTGGACTCGTGTATCGAACAGGGTGCTCATGTGAAAAATGAAATGCAATTGGTCCTCCATGTCAAAATCATTAAATCTTAAACATGGGGTAAGCCCAACGTGTGCGGCACCGTTCATTGCACAAAATCGGGTTGGAAGATATTTTAGTGATCCTTAGTGGGGTACTCCTACAAGGTGAAGCTAAGCCGTCTCTAGTACAAGTAAAACTTCCACCCGTTGAACGGTTTGCCTACTTGAGGATGTGTTTTTAAGGGCACGGATAGAGCTTCCGACCCCCTTAATTTCATTGACCCTCCACACGAGTTGAGGAAAAAGGAGTTAAGAGAAGTACTCTGGCGAGTGCCAGATGTACAGAAATTGCTCTTGCTCGACTAATAAGGGTCGACCGTGCAAAAGACTGCAGTTGGAACCCCCACCAAGTGAATAAAAAGAAAAAAAAAGAGTAAAATGAAAGTGAAAAAGGGGTTCCAACGGTGAAATGAAGTGAAAGAGCACCTCGTAAGCTGCTATATGATCTAGAAAATCCTCTATCGACGATCGGGGTTGTTTGTTGCTATAGAGGTCTGGAGAGTTGCATTGGTTTGAGTCAGGTTTGCTTGGGGACAAGCAAACGGTTAAGTGTGGGGGAGTTTGATACACCATTGATTACACATGTTTTTATCCCTATTCTTGAGCCGTTTGAGATGTCGATTCCCGTGTTTTAGGCCGATTTCACGCTAGGTTGTTCTTGTTTGTGATATTTCAGGTCCTAGTACGTGAATGAAGGTTTAGGAACGAGTTCGGGGTCGATTGGACGAAGTTTGGACGTTTGGCGAGAAGCTGAGAAGCCACACGGGCATGCCCAAAAGCCACACGGCCGTGTAGGAGACCCACTGTGGCCGTGTGAAGGCTCGGCAAAAGCCACACGGGCAGCCTGGACACTCACACGGCCGTGGGGGTCGTGGCCGCGTAGGAAGCCGTAAGTCACTTAACGAAACGCCGCGTTTTGCAAAGCCACACGAGCAGCTGGGGGAGTACACGGCCGTGTGACATGGTCATGTGAGTCGGGATTTTCTGGTTTTAAGCCAATTTCCAGCCAAAAGTGAGGGGGATTCGAGTTTTAGAGAGACAGAGCGATTCCTAGAGAGAGAAAGCGACGAACAAGAGTTCCCAAGTGCCCTAGCTTGATCTTCATCACCATTGGAGCCCGGCTTGAGCTTGGAGAAGTGCCGATCGACAACCAGGAGCAGAAATCCATCCTTCACAGTATGGTTTCCGCATCTGAATCTGCTTTTGCTTCTTTCTCCATGGAGTAGTTCTCCCATTCATCTGGGTATGGAGAACCCTAGATTTTTATGTTAGGTCTGATTGTATGAAACCAAGTACAGATTCTATGATTTGATTTTATTCAATTGAGGTTTGAATGATTCGATGGCATGAATCCTGATCAAATTCCTATTGTTTCTGCTTTAACCTAGAAAGAAAATATCTGCCTAGGTTGATAGAGCACCCTTAATTGAAGGTAGTGAATTGGTGACTTTAGTCGAGGAGCCAGTTCACTATTCTGTACCTAAGTTACTTCGGTATAGGAGGTTTTGTTCGTTAGGTCCTCAATCTGTTTACTGCGGTGGAGGTTAGTCGCCCCCTGGAGACTCAGATTGAGAGGGTCTGGAGACCTTTAGTCGAGACTTCAGACTATTTAAGAACCTTCCGCAGTATAACTATCATAGAAACTGAACTTGGTAATTGCAATCCGACTTAACTGCAGTCTAGGGGGAGCCATATCCGGGTGACCTCTCTCGACTTGAAACAACCGTTTAACTTGCTTTGTGTTTTTGTTAGTTTGAACCTGCACTTAAGTTTTACCGCTAGATAATAAGAATTCACTGAGTATTCATCATATCTAGGACCCGGGTTGACATTAAAACCCAAACCCGCTATACTACGCTTTAGGAAGTGGTTTCACTTGGCCATTTTCTAGAGTGACAGTAGGAGTGAGTCACTCACGACGGGGGCACGAATTGTTATAGATTCAAGTTCGGCGGGAAAAACATTGTGCTGAAGCCTTTGTCCCCAGCATAGGTTCGCGCCGATCAACAGCAATTGGCCGCCAATCGGGCTAAGAATGGCGAGGAGTTACGAGAAGGGAAGGCCAAGGCGGGATTTACCATGGGTCGCTTTATGTTGACCGCTCTAAGACGCGAAAAGCTCCGGAGAACGAGCCCCACACTCGTACCCTGTTTTCCGACGACGGCAAGGCAGGGCAGGAGAGAGGGGCTATTGGGTGGCGCTCCTGGGGGCGATCCGACTTAACCCAATAAACTTGACGCATTCCCTCTGACCTAGGGGTCGATTTATGCTGACCGCCCTAAAACGCGAGAAGCCTTGACGAACGAGCCCCAGACTCGTTCCCTGTTTTCCGACGAAGCCGAGGCAGGGCAGGAAAGAGGGGCTATTGGGTGGCGCTCCTGGGGGGCGATCCGACCCAACCCAAGAAGCCCGACGCGTTCCCTCCGGCCTAAGGAAGCGTTCCCCTCAATCAATTGGAGTCGTCTTTGTTTGTTTTGCAGGATCACATTCACACTCCAATCACTCTGCTTGAACTCAAACACCAGCAAGATATGCGTGAATGGGTTGGGGAGTCTGGCGATGAATCGGCCGAAGCGGCTGATGCAGAATCGTCGAGGGTAGTCCCAGAAAGCTGTAGGAAGCTTCAAATAGTGTCGCCGATTGCTGAGGACGAAATGCCCAAATTGAAATTGGCTGACCTGAGCACCAAAAATTTAAACGCTACGGGTGGCGGGAAAACGAGTGACGTCGAATTCGCGATGAAGCCGTAGCTTCAATGGGTGGAACAAGTTCAGGAGCTCGATTGGAGGATGGAAGGAGGTCGTAGAGGCAATGAGTTGGGATGGCGACGTTGGAATCAAGAGTTCCCAATTCCCAAGTCAAAGAACAGTGCTTGCGTTTTCCAGAAAACGTGGCCTGAGCAGCCGTTTTACGACCCTATTTGGGTTCAGTTTTGTGATGATTTTGAAGGCAGGAAAGAACCAGCTTTAAGGGCAAAGCTTTTAAAAGAGGGAGGGCCTAATATGATCTCAAAATCCTTCTTCCATCATTCTTGGTTGATTGCTAAAGAAGCTACTCCTACTCACTTGAAGAACATGAAATTTTGGCTAAGTCATGAGACTGTTTCGGGAGGCCTTCTTTACGAGCATGGTTTGGGCAATTGCCATAATAGAAATTATATTGGAAAGGTTGGATTGAACCTTGCAAATTGATAAACAAATTGGAATGTATGGATTCTCGAGAGAAGGCCAGGAAGTGGCATTTTCAAGCTCGACAAAACACTATGGCAGCACAGGAAAACACTATGGCATTTTCAAGCTCGACAAAACACTGTTGCGGGAAGCTCACTTTGAAGCTCAGGAGACGACGAATGGCTGGGAATCAGGTTCCAACATTTAGTTCACACGAAAGCTGGCATTTTCTAGTACACAAACAAGGCACAAGGTGATCTAATCGGAATTGGGAGAAGTGAGAACGAGGGTCTCCAAGTTGGCATCAACACCAGTTTGTTACTTGCACTTTAAGTTTCCGCTTTGTGTTAGGATTGAGAATGTTTTTGCTTACCTTGTTTGTTTCGGATTCCTTTTGCATTCTAGAGTGTTTGTAACCTATATTTAAGACCTGCAAACGTATTGTATAAAGGCATTTTTTGAGTTGAATACAAAAATTATAAAAACCTAAACTAAGTCTTGTCGCTAGTTTTTTGTTGAAGAGCTTTGGTCGAGAAAACCAAGCTCGAATCTGTTCTTGTATCGATCAATACAGCCTTGATTGTGGGAGAGCTTCGACATATACTTCCTCCAGGTGTAGAATTGCACAAGAGTTCTGTAACACCCTACCCTATACGTTTTGCCTAATCATACTGTTCATACAATTGCAGCGGAATTAATCTCGGGTGTTACATTAATTATCAAAATTTACCTAAATAAAATTTCGACATGAATTACTCGCGTAACAGTTCTTGCAACTTATCCTGCAAAATAATTCATCACAACCATATATACTAACAACCATATACACGGACTTTCATAGCCATAGTCACAGTTTCATACTACACAACTGCATCCCAAACTTCTACATACCATAATCGTCCCAACTTACACAGTTACACAACATATACACATATCATCAATTTTCCACACCTGTGGATATCTCACACTACATCAGAAGCTAGTATGCACATGAAAAACGTTCTCAAAACATTTTTACAAAAAGGTGTGGATCACTGGCCAAAATCCCGAGTAGTCATCCAAGCACAGAATAGTTGAGGACCATACCTCATCTTGCCTTCAACTCTTGCTCAGCTCCCACCTATATACCTATCTACTGCTGCTGATGATCTGCTTACACATGGCATAAGCAGAGAAAGAGGATAAAGAGGGTCAGCTCATAGCTGAGTGAGATAATCATAGCATCGTGAGTTCATAACAGAGCATACCCCTACCATACATCTAGCAAACAAGCCAAAGCAATGGGATCATATCTCAGCTCTCCGACATCCCAATATGCAAAAGACTCAACCACCTTGACTTATGCATATGCATCTTATCATGTTTTACTTATAGGCGCCTGGCTACCCCCATGCTAATAACTCTCCCGGGAAACATACCCCACATCCCGTCGGATGTAGTCATACATACCCCAACATCCCGTCGGATGTGGTCATACATACCCCACACCACTATGGGTGTAGTCATACCCCGACACCGCTCTGGGTGTGGTCATATCTCATAAGAATTCTTCAGTCACCACCACATGAGAGGTGTGACTATCATACATATCATAATGGAGTAATAGCATAGGGAGCCCTAATTACTATGTAGTTGACCGTGAGACCACAACACCCATATTTGGTATCCTTATACATGATTCATATCTCATCTTGCTTAATCATAATTCATTACTTGCACATGTACTTGACCTGGCCATAATTGGCTCAACATAGGTAAATCAGGAGTCGTATAATTGCACTTCCTCGGGATAAACCCTCATGCAAGTCATCCTCCTTAAATATCATAATATCACCAGGGAATATATATTTTCCCACTTGTGCATCCAAATACAACAATCATGAAAAATCATACCTAATCACCTTCTCGAACCATCGTAAAGCATATTAATAGTCAAGCCCACAATTTGCAACATATACATAATCATCAGCATAAACAAGGTTCATATCGATTAGGGCAAGTCAATAATATCATACAGCAATCCAGGGTTCAACATATAGCACAAAAGTTCATATACACCTAATCATGCCATTCTAGTTCACCTAGATCAATTCTAAGCATCAATATAATTATCGTGATACGACAAACCCGGTATGCCGTGCTAATCCCTCACCAATTCTGGTCGTTCAAACACCAGTTCTAGCCTCCCGTACTAAAACGTCAATTTCACAAACGAACCCGAAATTAGAATCCGAGACCGTCCTAATATCCCCTGCACTATCCCCGTCAATATTAGTTCTAGGCTCCTGGTCAAATTCTTGATAAAAACACATCAAACCCTGGCCGGAGTTAAATTCAATGATTCGGGCCCGACCTAAATAATTGCCGAAGTTCATGAATTAGAACTAGAGGATTGATTACCTCGCTGCAAGAAGCTCGTATCTAAAATTTGGGCTCAATCCGGCTTCCGGATACTCCGAAACCCTAATTTGGCTTATCGGGAATTCAAGAAATTCCTGACCAAAAACTCGTTTTAAAGCTCTAAATCGATAAATCATGATGTATAGATGAATTAGGCATTACTTACGGGATTTTTGGATCACTAGAGCTCAAGATTTGAGCTTTGGAAATTCTCCCCAGTCGCTCCCCTGCATTCGCTCGCTCTGCTTCTCTCTCGGTCCGAAAGTGAAAGGAAGATGAAGATGGGGAAATTAAATGAAATGGCGGTGGGGAATTAATTGGACAGGTATATATATATATATATATATATATATATATTATAATTAATACGTATACTTATCTGATCGATCGATAATCCGATTTTCGTCGAAATAGTGTCGAAATGCTCGATTTTAAATCGCGAACTTTCTAGCGATTGAAATACGATTTTAGCCAAAACGGGATGTTACAATTCTCCCCTCCTTAAAAGATTTTGTCCCCGAAATCTAACCTTGAGTCGTACTCTAACTCCTCTTACTAACCCTTAACATGGTCTATCATACATAAAGTCATTACCTAACTCTTAGGTTAGGCAATTCATAACATAGAAAATAACCAATAACACCTCAAGTTCCCATGTTTAGGTTTCAAAAACCTATACTGGGCTATCACAACAAAATCACATCAACAAGCTGAAAACATAACTTATTAGGCAAGATTGTTAACCTGCAAAGTAGGTTGCTACTAACTCAGGGTACTTCTCTCGCATACTTGCTTCAGTTTCCCATGTAGCACTCTCACTATCTTGATTTCTCCAAACCACTTTCAACATTGGGATTTCCTTCCTACGAAGATTCTTAATCTGAAAATCAACAATCTCAACTGGAACCTCCTCAAAAGTTAAATCTGGACCCAACTCGATCTCCTCTGGATGTATAACATGGGAAGGATCCACTTTGTACCTCTTCAGCATACTAACATGAAATACATTGTGGATTTGAGATAGTTATGGAGGCAATGCCAGTTTATATGCCACTGGTCCAATCTTCTCTGTGATTTCATAGGGTCCAATATACCGAGGTGCAAGTTTCCCTTTTTTACCAAATCTCATCACCCCTTTCCATGGTGACACTTTGAGAAATACTTTCTCACCCACTTCGAAATTAACTTCACGCCTATTCGTGTCAACATAAACTTTCTGCCTAACTTGAGCCACCCTCATACGCTCCCTGATTTCCTTGACCTTATCAACTGTGATCTGAACTATCTCTGGTCCTGAGATTTGCCTTGCTCCTTCTACATCCCAACATAATGGTGTTCTGCATTTCCTCCCATAAAGTGCTTCATATGGTGGAACACCCAAGCTACTATGGTACTGGTTGTTGTAAGCAAACTCTATTAGGGGCAAATGGTCAATCCATGATTCTTCCCATTGCATTACACATGATCGAAGTAATTCCTCCAAAGTTAGGATGGTTCGTTCACTCTGCCCATCTGTTTGAGGATGATAAGCTGAAGTAAAATGTAATTTAGTTCCCAAGACATCGTGTAAACTTTGCCAAAACCGAGATGTGAAGCTCGGGTCTCGATCAGAGACAATAGAAATTGGCACACCATGCAATCTGACGATCTCCTTAATATATAGTTGAGACAAAGTCTCCAGTGATGGTTTCCATCTAATGGGTAAAAAGTGAGCCGATTTGGTCAGTCAGTCCACAATAACCCATACTGCATCTTTTCCCCTTGATGATGGGAGACCATATACAATATCCATTGTGATTCTTTCCCACTTCCATTCTGGAATTGGAAGTGGTTGTAGTTTTCCCACAGGAACTTGATGTTCTGCCTTAACTTTCTGACATACCAGACATGTGAAAACATGTTCAGCCGCTTCCTTTTTCATCCCACGCCACCAAAAATATGGTTTAATCGTGTGATACATTTTAGTTGCTCCTGGGTGCATAGCATAAGCAGAAGAATGAGCTTCATCTAGGATCTCTTTCCTCAAGTTATCAACATTATGAACACATGCTCTTCCATTCATCTTCAACATGCCATCTACCATTTCAAATGGGCTTTCTTTTCCTTTCTCAATGTCTTGAATGATTTTTGCCAACTCTGAGTCCTCCTTCTGCTTCTCACGAATTTTGTCATGCAACAAAGGTCGAATATTCAACCGAGCTAGTAACCCTGTTACACCATCCACTTCCAAATCAACATTCATTGCCCTCAAATCAACCAGATCCGTTATATTCTTCTTGCCTTTTCTGCTCAAAGCATCAGCAACTACATTAGCTTTACCTGGATGGTAATCAATTGTACAATCATAATCTTTTAGAAGTTCAATCCATCTCCTCTGGCGACTATTTAAATCCTTCTGATCCATAATATACTTCAAGCTTTTATGATCAGTTAGGATTTTAAAAGTCTCACCATACAAATAATGTCGCCAAATCTTGAGAGCAAATACCACCGCTGCCAACTCCAAATCATGAGTGGGATAATTTACTTCATGAGGACGCAATTTCCTAGAGGCATATGCGATAACTCTTCCATCTTGCATTAGCACATAACCCAGTCCTTGATATGAGGCATCACTATACACCACAAACTCTCCCTGACTTGAAGGTAGTGCAAGTACTGGTGCTGCGGTCAATCTCTTTTTCAGTTCATCAAAACTCTTTTGACATGATTCATCCCAAACATACTTAGTATTCTTCCTCAACAGTTTAGTCAATGTTGCCGCAATATTGGAAAATCCTTCGACAAACCGCCGATAGTAACCCGCCATGCCAAGAAAACTTCTCAACTCAGACACATCTTTTGGTGGAGCCCAACTCACCACTGCTTCCACCTTTTTTGGATCCACCTCGACACCTCTTCCAGAAATTACATGTCCCAGAAATATTACCTCCTTCAGCCAAAACTCACATTTTGAGAATTTTGCATATAATTGTTTCTCCCTTAGAATTTGCAACACAATTCTAAGGTGAGTTTTGTGCTCCTCCTCGCTTTTAGAATAGATGAGAATATCATCTATGAACACAATCACAAACTTATCAAGATATTCATGGAAAACTCTGTTCATAAGAGCCATAAATACCGCTGGTGCATTAGTGAGTCCAAAAGGCATTACCAGGAACTCATAAAGCCCATATCTTGTTCTAAAAGCTGTCTTTGAAGTTGCTCCATCTGCTACTTTCAATTGATGGTATCCAGACCTCAAATCAATCTTAGAAAAGACCGATGCACCCTGCAATTGATCAAACAAGTCATCTATTCTTGGGAGGGGATAACGATTCTTCACAGTCGCCTTATTCAACCTCCGGTAGTCAATGCACATTCTCATGGAGCCATCTTTCTTCTTGACAAACAAAACTGGTGCACCCCAAGGTGAGATGCTAGGTCGAATAAACCCCTTGTCTAGCAATTCTTGCAATTGTTCTTTAAGCTCCTTCAGCTCAATTGGTGCCATTCTATATGGTGCCATTGAAATTGGTGTTGTGCCAGGTACCAATTCAATATCAAACTCTACTTCCCTTTCTGGTGGAAGGCCGCGAAGTTCTTCGGGGAATACATAAGGAAACTCCCTTACCACCTCTACATCCTCAACCTTCTTATCATTTACTACAGTAACTTGAGCAAGAAAGGCTTCACAACCTTCCTTCACTAATCGAAAAGCTTCCAAGGCAGAAAGAAAACCATGAGTCTCCTTTTTCTTAATGCCTCGGAATACAACAGGACCTTTATCTGGTGTGTTAAATAACACTTCTTTCTTTTGA